GAATTTTAGATTTAGGCATTGCCGCATGTCAAAATTCAGGTAAAAATTATGCCGCAATAATTTCTACGGCATGTATAATCTCATCCAACTGCTTTCGTGGCTCCATGTGTTGCATTACTCGAAAGCTATCATGGAAAATTTCCAAACACTATTTCTGAATTACGAAATTTATTTCACCAAGGTATTGCTAATCCATATTCAGGCCACGGTTCAACTGGAACTAACATTTTCTTGCATATTAATTTTACACTCTGTTACCTTATTATGATGTTTGTTATGAATCTCAATGGAATCCATATTATATCATATCTAAAAATACGCCATTATATGATTAACGATTTCGTAATCAAGGTGGTGACAAGTAACAACATGCTTTTTCACTTAACACATTAGGATATGGATTTTTTGTACTGAAAAGGCATTATATATATCATAAAGATTATCTAAAATAGATTGGCCTGATGATGGTTTAAGGCATGGACAATTATCTAAGAACCAGTTTAATTATTTTCAACATTGAGGATGATGCTCTCAACCTTTGCAACCTTTGATCACAGGATAAATAAGAGATTTGCTTGGAATTGTGATTTGGTTGATTGACTTTCTTCTCTTAAAAAGAATTATAGTTGACTAATTTTTATTCATAATCTGATTTTGTTTAACTTTATTTTTCACCAGTGGTATAATTTTATGTGAAGAACCTTCAAATGCTGAAGAATAGGCAAAATCCTTGCGCAGAATTAAAATAACAACTTCTTACTACTAATCAAAGGCCCGGAAGCTTATTTAATATAAATTTACATAGATACGTCACTATAATACAAAAATTTACCCGTGATCTACGTGACTGCTATAGTAATACCATATTTGTGCGAAATGACGCCCATAGGGCGTTATTTTCGAATAATTAAGAATGTGAATCATTCATAATTTTTTTCTATTAAAAGTCATTGGCTGAATTAATTATTAGCTTTCTTTAAACTACGTACGTACGTACCCATAGGCGTTATACGTATACGTATAGTGCAAATACGATCAATTTGTTAATAAAAATATACTACGTATTAATTAATAACAAAATTATCCTGTATATTTATAGAATTTTAAAAGTCAAAATCGAGGATTATAAACATACGTATAACACAATAATGAGTGTATCTTATTAATCAAAATCTAGATTTTTTACACCATTCAATTTTTCTCATACGTAGAAGAATTGAATGATTCAAAATCTCTTGATTCTGATCATTAGATATTAAATAACGTAAATGGTCACCAATTATATACAGTATATATATATATATATTTATTTATACAGTATCGATATTTAGATATATTATTATTATAATTTAAAGAAACCCACATGTAGAATGTTTGTATTTGCCATTTTGAACCATAATAATAAATGTTGGGTATCAAATGCCAACGTTGTACAGTACGTACAGTACGTATAATAATAATGAATAAAGAGTGAAAAAATTAAGTTACAGATTTGCAAAATTTAAGACATATTTTTTTAAAATTAACCAATTAATTGTCAAAAAAAACCAGGTGAATCCATTATTGATAATTAAAGGCTTAAAAAAGAATTAAAGGGTACATTACCTCTAATACGTAGAAATATTAGTAGTTGCCTTGCCTTAAAATTATTAATAAATGATAAATAGGAAATAGGATTATTACTCCCGCGTTATTACATTACATTGATGTCACCTGCTATGATCCTTGCAGATTTACAGGGGAATGGCTAGAATTAACGTTAATGAGCTCATTTAAATAGATAGATTTTAGTTATTTTTATAATACAAAGGTCATCATATAAAAAAAAATAATTATTATTTTTTATAGTGTAGTTACGAACTTAATATACGTGTGTACGTATGCACGATATTTCTTTCTTTGGTACGTAATTTATCATAGATGCGTGATACATAACTCGCGTAACAAGAAACGAAACCGTATAAGGTGCATTTTAAATTAAAAGGGAAGGTTCGGGAAGTTGTCAAAGTGTCATATGATCTGCGCGCATAAACAAACAAGACTGATTACTGGTATAAATAATTAATTTTCCCACTTATTTTTTATTTTTCAATTTATCATACTTTCGTTTTTCGTATATAAAAGTAATTCAAAGGGATTAATTAATAGTTTAAATTGGGTTTTTTTTTCTTCACAATTTAATACTCTTTTATTTAATTTTTCGTTATATATTATTAAATAACAACTAGAAAAAATTTTCAAAATTCAATGAAATTTCTTGATATTTCGTCTCTCGATTCTATAAACACTGCTTTAGTGTTTGAGAACCCTGAATGTAGGGTGATAGGTCGAATAGAAACTTATTCTTGTAAGTTCATTAATAAAATGGCTTGTAATTCACATTTTTTTATAATAATAATTTTAATTTTATTTGCAGGTAAACTTGCTGGAGTTGATAAAAAACTTTATAAAAATCTTGAAGGACGATGGAACGCACAAATTACTCAATCGCAGAGTGTATCGCCCGAACAACATAGTTTTCATAATATAATATCTCCATTTGGTCCAATGGATCAGCCATCTTCACGAAGAACTTTATTCAATTTGATAGCAACTTTAAACGCGTCTTACCCTGACTATGATTTTTCGTTTGTGTCAATTTTTAAATAATTCTGTTTTTAAAAGAAATTAAAATATTTACTAAACAACTTTTATTATATTATAGTGATGTTAAACCTGATCAATTCACAAAACAACCATCGGTTCCGATGGTTTGCAATTACATCAACAATACTCTCTTTAACCTCGGTCGTGCATACATTGTAAATGATCTCAACCTATGGCAAATAGTTGATGATATAATTGAATTAGATGAATGCAATGTTTATTCGTTTAACCCTGATGTAGACTCCGATCCAAATGCTGAAGATGGTGCAATGTATGTAAATATTTTTATTTAATTATTATTCGTTTTTCTACATATCATTTGCAACAAATTGAATGGACCTCTGTCTGTGTACAAACAAGTTCATCTCAAATGATATCTGTTTATTCTATTTTTGTGGGGTTTTTTTCCACTCTCTTAGATGGTCGTTTAATTTCTTTTTTTACAATAAGAAACTAAAAAGGATCTCGTTTTTTACTGTTCGATGTTTGAGGTAAGTAGAAAGATTATTTAATAAAAAAATTATTCAGTATATTTAACAAGACTTTTCTTATTTTTAGTATCAACGCACCTTTACAAGAAGATGAACCATTAGATTCTTTTTCGGGTTCTGAGAGTGACATCAAGTAAGTAAGTTAAATTTGAAAATGGGGGTTTAGAATGTGCTGGCGTCATTATAGTCGGGAAATTTTCTGTAAATATATTGCAAATATAAATATGTATATAATATGTATATATATCATTACAAAGTTGTAAAAAAAATAATAAATCTAGATAGATGATTAACCCGGGTTAATCAATCTAAAAAAAGCATTGCTTCGTTAAACATTGCAATGTATGAAATATCAATATACAATGTACAACATGTTATTTAACTAAGTAGTTAAATATCTAGTTGTATATTGTAATGATTAAATTAAACAACGAGTTTATTATTGATTTTAAAACTTCCTGACGATGATATATATAATATATATGCAAACGTGGAACATGTTGCATATTTGCATATTTGCAAGTGTTTATTTCATAATTACCTAATGAAATAAACATATAGTGTTTAAATCACTCTCGGGATAATTAAATGTTACTACTGATGCCGAAATTAATATGAAAATTTAAAATTTTTTAGGAGCGTTAGTTAATTGTATAATATTTGGGGGGTTGGATTGGGACAAAATAGTATAGGTGGATTCTAGTGGGGTTATTTTAGAATCAATCAATTTCTGCATCAGCCGTGACATTAAATAATCTCCGAGATAAATAAATAAATATTAGAATAGTTGAGTAATTTACGGGATAAAAAGCAATGCCAAATAATGCAAATGTGCAACGATGCATTGCAGGTAACCAACAGTTATGGGGGGGGGGGGGGAGTAAAGAAGTTCAAAGATCGAAATTAAATTTCCTAATTCTTCAATGTTCTTTTTGTTTTTTTTTTTTCGATTCATTCTCTTATCAAATAATATATTCAGCGCAATGTCGTACGAAGAATATGTTATGGGGGATATTGAGATGTAAGGGAAACACACGATACCTATATATGAACCTATATATGAAGATGGTAAAAATTAAAGTCCATGTAAGTATAAGGTTGAAACTTTTCTTGTCACAGTTTAAATAAGATTAATAATATGTGTGTATTAATATTGTAGATATAAACAAAGTTGCATCAAACCTATTTAATGCATTAATTTGACACAACATGGACTTGCCATAAGAAATATATAATTTCGAAATATAGATTCGATATATGTATTTTTTTCTTTATTTGGGATAGTTTAGTGTAATAAGTATTATTAGTTATAATTGATTTATAACTTTCATTTTATTGTACATTCTTTATTGACTTATCTGTTATTTGTAAATCAAACTTGGAAATAAATAAATCTATATATATACGTTATATTTATGTTAACTTTTAAAGTTCCACAACAACCAAATCCTCTTTTCCCTCTTATCGAGATATAGTAAAAAACTTAAATTACAGTAATATAGTATCGTAAAAGATTATTTACCATGATATATGCGTATATTACTATATGATAAATTTATTCTTGTTCACGGGTATTACTGTATAATACCAATACATTGTTCTTAAGAAAATTAAATAGTAATGATAAAATAAATATATAATAATAAATAACTATACAATACCCATATTCATGTTATTTATCTAATTTAACTTTATATCACCATTACTAGGTTTAATATCAACATTTAATGATGGAACCTTATGTTTTGGAGTAATAGCGCGTAAAGTTTTTAGCATGTTTTCGCGAGTTTTATCCATTAAAGAATTTATTTGATCTCTATCATCAATATTTATATTTGTTGTTTCAATAGGTGGTAATACTATAAAGATAATGAGAGATAATGCGTGTTAAGTTCAAATAGACTAAAAATAAACAAATAATTAATTAATTAATTAATAAATTAATTAAAATATACCTTTAATATGCAATTCACCACCACGAAATATTCTTCGACTTGAACTATAGATATCACTATAATTGGCTACTACTATTGGAATTATAGGGATTCCAGCTTGTGCAGCCATATAAAAAGCACCTTTTTTGAACGGAAGAAGTTCAGCTTCCTTGAGATGAGATCTCGTGCCCTCCGGAAATATAAAGACGCTTATCTATTAAATAATTAACGATGAATATAAATTTTTTTTAAAAAAAGAGGATAAATAAAATATTACCTTGCGGTGTTTAACTTCATCTGCAGCTTTTATTAAAGCTTGTACGGAACTTTCACGATTTTTCCGAACGAGAAATATGGATTTACCGAGTACCACTATCGATTAATAAAGTAGATTATTACTAAATCTAAAAGTATGCATGCATAAAATTTGATATTCTCGATAAGATAAAATTTCAACATACGAGAATATTTTTTTTAAAAAGAAAAAATAATGACTTACTATATATATTTAATAGTGGCACATATTTTAATTCAGCTTTGCCAACAATCACGCAATCCTTTGGGAAAATTCTTCCTAATACGAATAGGTCAGCGGTCGATTGATGATTACAAACATAAATTGCCGATTTTCCTGTAAGCATGTGTTCTTCACCTTCAACTTTATATGATATTCCAACAGCTCCACCGGCTATATAAGCATAAGCCCTAGCAGTTGCCCAATTTATCAGACCACGTTTACCGATTAATGAGAAAAATATTGCAGAAAGAATACCAAAAACCGAAAATATGATTATAAATATTAGACTTATTAAAGCTCGAACAAAGAACTGTATTGTTGGGTTAATTCGACTACCAGTTATGAGAATTCCTATCACCAAAAGTATAGCTAAAGGATGAGCTGTAAGTAATTCAAACTTTACTAGAATACTATCTAGAAACATTTGTAGTGAATTTATTATTATTATTATTATTGTAATTATTGTTAATTATTGTTAATTATTGTTAATTATTGTAAGATAAAATAAAAAATTATCCAATAAACGACACCGTTTAAAAAAAAAAAACAGCCAGCTAATGTATAAATAGGAAAGATCCAATAAATTTAAAGTAAAAATGTTAAACCAGTAGTAGGAAATTTTTTTTTGTTTAATAATAATAACTATAACTAGTATTTAAACGTTTTTTTAAAACTTTTTTGTAAACACAGAATAAAAAAAACCAAAGACATTTTCTAAAGATCACTATTTATGCGTTTATTGATTACAAGCAAAAAATCTCAACTATTTGTTTGGTCAGAAGACCAACCGGGATGACGCCCCATGAAGTGCCGAGGCACCTAACCCCAAACAATGTGGATATTATTACAGTATCAAGCTAGCTTTACAACATTTGAAAAATGGTCATAATAGTAATACTGTATGTATTTTAAAAAAAGTAATTTTCTTTTTATATTTTTTTAATGCTAGCATGTTTAATTAAAAAATGACCCCTTCAAGTGAACAAATTATGAATCATAAAATTTCTAAAATTAATGCTAAAAAGAGTCACAACTGCACGCCCTGAAGTTATTTGGTTTAATGCATATAATGTCATATAGAGACATGTGATTTAAGATTGTCCGGTTATCATTACAGTAGTTATCAGTATGTGGTAAAGACCGACCATTACGCAATCGTAATAATTGTAATTGTCTGAGGCTTTGAAATTTATCGTCCTTGCAGAACTTTATCAATATAAAATGATGGCGTTTCTCTTTTTCAAAAAATTAAACGATTTTAGATTGATCATTAAAAAAATAAAAATAAAAATAAAAATAAACTCGGGAACCAATAAAATTCTATAAACTGTTGCTTCAAGTATATCCTTACATCCATGCAGCCCATCAAACAAAACCCGCATTATCATTTATCATTGATCGAACTCTACCAAGAAATCTTATGTATGTCAAATAAGTCATTTGATATATTACGTATTTAATTACGTATTTAATTACGTATTTAATTACGTATCAGGTATTTATATTTATATTATCCTGTTACGTATTATTTTTCTACTCGGGCATTTTTATTTTTTCCGACTTTTTATTCTTACTTTCTTTTTTCATATTATCATCCCCGTTTTGATATCCCCGCTTTGATATCCCCGCTTTGATATCCCCGTTTTGATAACAGCATAATTGGTGATATGTGCCGAAGCTCAATGCTTGATTTATCGGTTTACCTATAACAAATCACAGGTACAGAGAGGGTAATTGCGAAGGGATGATCTTAAGTTTTCGGGATGCATGAAACCACGTGACAGCGATTTTGAAAGTTTTTCATTGATACTATATTAAGAATCCGTCAAAAGCAATGCGCTCGCACATCCCAATATAAACTGACCTGTCTAACTAACTGCCTATTTGCTCATTTATTACCACGCTTATTCTCAACGAATCAAAATATTTTGTAGGACGACATTATTGTCGTACAAACTTAATATTCATTTACTTCAATTTACTTTATTTACATTCTTTTTATTCTTTTATTATTACCGTAAATAAAAAAATCACTTTGTTGACTTATTATAATAATTTATACGTAACAAATATGTTTAGTCATTTGTTACATTATGTTTCCCATTTTTTACCAAATCGTTGGGTTTCAGCTAATAAAATGTTTCAAAAATGTTCTAAAAACAATAACCAGCAGTTATTCTTTCTTCTTTACGATTAATTATTAAAAAATTATTAAAAAAAAATTTTTTTTTTATTAATTGTTCGGTTACATAAATATAAGTTCCATGTCCTAAAAGAAATTAAAAAAAAAAGTGTTATTTTCTTAATCGAAAAAGAAAGAAAAAGGAAACGACAAAAAAGCCCAATACTCTTTTGTTAAAGACGTTTTGTCTTAATTATTGTTTATCATCTTATATAGACAAAAAAAAAATCCCTAAGCTCAAAACGACTATTATATGTTTTAAGAATATACATACTATATAATTATAATTTAAAATATTAATAATGACTTCAACGAAAACTGATCCAATTAATGATATAGGTATGCTTTCCGAGTCTTTTTTTCTTTCATCCATTCGACCGAACCAAGCCGCTTTTTTATATATTCCCAATGTTATTAATGTTATTGATAATTGTTGACTTAAAATTATTTAAGGATGAAATTATTTATTTATAAACTTTTTATTTATCATTTTATACAATATATATCATCATAAATATATAAATTTTCTTTTCATTCCCATTTATTTTCTCCGAAATTATATTTATTACGTATCAACTCATTTATAGAAATTAATGCTAAAAACTTGTTTACTAATTTTTCTTCATTAAAATTTTTTCGATAGAAACTTCTGTTACCTCGGTTCTTTCTTCAATTAATACTTCTCCTCATTCTCCAACTTTTCAATCTTTCTCTCCTCGTACTTCTGTTCCTTCTTCTCCAATTGGTCATCAAAAGATGAATAGTTCTTCGGAAATAACCACTCATTCTTATCGTGACTCTGGTTATTTCAGAGATACTTTGACAAGAGAACAAATGAGCGCTCAAAGAACTATTAAAGAATTGGAAAAGAAAGTTGCTGATCTTACTGCTGAAATCGATCGTTCAAAAAGTGAACATCAAGAATCAATCGATTTGAATAGAACTCATGTTAGAAAAATCAAACAAATGGAACTTGAATTGTCACAGGTTAAAATCGTTAATAAAACTATGTTGGATGATAATAAAAAGTATCAATCAATGTTGAATGATAAGGATGCCGAGGTTAGTCTTTTTGTATTTGTTTTTATTTTATTTTATTTTATTTTTATTTTTTATAATTTTATTTTTATTTTTTAATTTTTTAGTATCGAAAGTTAAAAGAATTGTATGAGAATGAAGTGGCAAAGAATGCCGCTTTGAGTAAGAAGGTTACCGACTCTTCCGATTTAGACGTTGAAATTAATCGTTCTGGTGGTGAACGTGTTCATAAAGAAAGTGATCATACTTTAATTGAAGGTATTATTTAAATTCTTTTATCGTATTTTTATGCTTGTAAAAAAATTCTTGTAATATATATACATTATATATATATATATATATATTTATTTATTTATTTATTTATTTATTTTTATTTATTATTATTATTTTAGAACTTCAAAATGAAATCAAGTCCCTTAAAGAAGATAACCAATCAATGAATCAATATATTCAAAAAATGTTAAATCGAATAATGGAAGTGGACGGATTTGAAGAAACTTTGGCTACAAATTGGACTCCTGATTCTCAAAAAAAGATTTCAAAAGTTAACAATAGTCGTACTTCTGCTCCGGTATCACCAAGTCCAAAAAATACTTCTAACGATTCTTCAAATGATTCACTTCCATTAAAACCACGTAATAAATCTTTATCGGATTTTAAATTTCCACGTACCACTCCTCCTTCAAATTCTTCAACTGCTAACTCCTCATCATCACCCACTACTACGACGTCTAAATTTTCTCTTACTCCCCTTACTACTTCTTTAATTAATTCTCTCTCTTCTCAAAATGTAAATGAAGAGATAATAATTGAAAATGATTCAGGTTTGAACAACGCGGATACTACTACTACTACTACTACTACTACAAGAAAAGTTCGTGGTAGCGAAGATAATTCTTCAAATGGTCTACGACCAAATACCAATGTTCCTAGACGTTCTCAAACTATGAGCAATGGCTCTAATAAAAGATTTAGCATATTGAAATGGGGTTCCTACGCCTTTGGTACTAATGCTGCGGCTCTGGCTGCTGCTAAAAAAGAGGATCCAAGGATGAAACCCATTTTACTCGTTGAAAAAAATCGTGAGTAACTTATTTTTAGAAAGAGGTGCGTGTTTTTCCTTAATAAATTTTTGGTTATTTTGTTATGAACGATTATATATTATATTAATATAAACTTTATAAATTTATAAATAGGACTATATAATATATATCTACATTTTATTATTATTAGTTATTCAGTTATAGGTAAACTTATCTTTATTACCTTTTCATAAATATATAAAAATTAAATACTATACTTTTTTTTTTTTTTGCGTTTAAAAAAATTTTTTTTTTATCTTTTATCCTGGTTTTTTTTTTCTTTTTTTTTTTGTAGTTAGTTAAAGAATTTGATATTTGTAATAATCGTTTCGTTATTGTTGTTGTTGCTTTGTTTTATAATTCCTGTTAATAAATAATTACTAGCTAAAGGTGTCTTTCAAAGACCTTTAAGTTATAAAATAAATAAATAAATAAATATATAATTCATATAAGATTAATTAATATTATTGCGTGCTAATACTTCAATTTTTTAAACATTACTGATATTTTAATTTTGAGTCGAGTCCTTGTATATATAAACAATATCATTAAGAAATATTAAATTTTTATTAAAAAACCAAATGGTTATTTTACTAAAAAGTTTTAGTCATTTAATTGATAATAAATTAGTGACAATTTTTAAATTTTTTGAGTCCTACGAGAACTCTTTTGTTTTTTTTTTTTAATTAAAGACGATATATCTTCATATGATGCAAAGGTCGGTAAATGCTTCAATTTAACCTTTTTGTGAGCTGGACCATCTATAATGAAAAATATCAAAAATTTTCTATTAATAATAAGACAAATGGCTTATGAGATAATTAGAATCATTACCATCATTTTCGCTACTTATAATGTCGTCATCATCTTCAACCGAATCATCGCTTTCCTTTAAATCAACATCCTCACCGCTATCATCATCATAATTATCACTATCATTGCTATCATCGACGTCATCGTTGAAATTGTGTTTATCATTTATATCATCGCCGCTATCATCCTCGTTATCATCCTCGTTATCATCGTCTTTATCATCACTATCATCATCGTTATTATCGCTAATATCACCAATATTATCAAAAACATCATCATTGTTATCATCATTACCATCATCACCTTCAGAGGAGAAATATGACTCCTCTAAATCATTAGGCTCATCATCATCCTCGCTATCCTCGAGATCTGAATCCATTTTAATAGGTAACGTTGATTTCATTGCTGCCCATATTTCATCCTCCAATTCATCATCTTCTTCGTCATTGTCAAGAAAGTCTGCTGTTCTGTCCGATTCCTTTTTCACCTTTTTCACTTGCTTTCCTTCGTTTTTTTGTGTAAAATATTTGTGAAAGAATACCTAAATAATTATAGACAATTTTATTTATTGTAATTTGACCATTAAGTCACAAAATGAAAATATTATTATAACTAACCTGATCTTCTGGTACGTCATCCAGCTTTCTCCTCCAAAATTCTTCGGAATTTACATTTATTTCATCTTTAGATATTCCAGTACCTTTCTTCATTACTACCATTCCTGGTTCCGAGGCGACAATTGGTTGAAGTATGGGATTACCACCTTTAATTCGATCTGTTTGTTTAGGATTACGATATACAAATCTATCCAGGAAATGTGATAATGTATGATGATGAAGTTCAGGTGGTGGATCAATAGGTATATTCTCAAGTAGTTGCTTTGCATATAAAGCAACTGTGGGATGAAAATGATTAATGAAAATGGTCTATTAAACAATATTAATAATACTTAGTTGATTTATTATTATGATTATTATTAAAATAAAAATATTGAAATATTGGAACTTACCAATTCCCATATACACGTTTTATCAGCATTACTATATTGAGGATCTCGTTTTCGACCATCATACTTTCGAGAATTTGTTATCTTGGATGAAGATTGACTTCGTTTGGATTTATCACCTCGATCCAAGTTAGCTGAATCGTCATCTGGTATATCACCATCATGATCTTCAGGCTGGTTAATAAAATAACTAAGCGATGGATGCCTTTTTACAAGCTATACAATTGGCAATTGTTAAAGTTTCATTTAATGACTTATTTATATATAACATAATTTAAATAATTTATAATTTTAACATACTTCCGAAATCATATAGAAAGCCCCACAGATAAAAGGTGGTAAATGATGACCACATATTTGTATCAATCTCTTTATAAAAGCTTCAACACGTATTATTTTTGGATCATCCTTCAAGGCTTTGAATAATAAGTTTAAGTACATCGCATGTTTTGATGATCTGCTGAGACGAGGGTCAAATAACGACTGGTAGAGAGCACGGTAGAAACGTTCAGACAATGACTAAAAATACCGAAAATTAGTATATTTAAATATGTACAATAAAGAGAAGGTATTATTAATATATTTATATATTTTTACCTCTTTTTCGCAGGAAATTTGATAAATCAGCATCAATGCTTGTATACTAATATTAAAGGTACCAATACATGTGATACGATATAAAACGTTCAAACGGGAGTCGTATCTATTAATAATTTATAGAAGATTAATATAAAAATTACGTTTATTTAAAACTATTAATAATTAGCAAGTTCTCTTACACACTATGGTCCACCTTAGCAAATTTGTAAGCCCTATTTACACCCGTTAATATTGCGGCGACAAGTTTAGAATTCACAATATCTTCATTTTTAGTCTCGTTATCCTCCTTTGATTTTTTTGTATTTGTATTCTGTTTTTTTTTCTTTTTCGTACTCTTGGCATTTTTTATCTCCTTATTTTTTAGTTCCAATAATGTGGTGAAAAGAACGAAATAAATATCAATTAATTTATTAGCCACTTCAGTATCATTCTTTGTGAGAATAATTTGATTTAACGTAATGACACCATAATATAAAGCTCGTTCGTTCGCAGCGGGAAACAAAATTAATTGTTCAATTTCTCTTATAATATGAAGTTTCATTAACGGATGAACTTCAAATATTTGATTAACCAAGTAAGATGTTTTGGATGCTACTTTTCGTTCTTTATCACCCTAGATGTAAAAAAAAATTATAAAAAATTTTTTAGAATAATATATTTGGAAAAAATATTTTTTCAAAAAAAATATAAAATACTTACCAATTTATTAACTAACAATCTTAATAAATTTTGCTCTTGTTCGGGCTTTTCTTTAAACAATGCGAAAATAATCGAAATCATTTTCTGTCTCACGAACGTTAGAACATCATGAGTTAGTGTCTATTTAAATAATCGATATAAATTAAATTAAATACAATTGTTATAAAAAAAATTAACGAGAAAAAAAAAAATTTATATACTTCAATCACACCAAGTAATTCATAATAATAATTTTTGATGTAATCTTCAAATGCCCAAACTATCAAGTGCTTGTCCGATACTTTTGGATCATTTAACAGTTGATCACGAAAATATCTGTTATTGAAGCGTATATAAATAAGAATTTAGCTAAAAAAAATTTTTTGAAATTTCGAATATAGACGAAAGTTTATTTAATGCTTACTTGAGCTTTCGGTTAGGTAGAATAGATTCAATCATTAAATGCATTAAACAGTCAATCGCTTGAACTGCCTCGTCTCTACCCTTCTTCTTAGCCATATTCATTAATGTATCTAATGCATGAACCGCATGGATAGGCGATTCGTCAACAAGAACAGATAGAGTTGATATCTTATCCTTAAGAGTACCAGATTTAAGCATTGTTATGTAAAAAGTGCGGTCAAATGAATGGTGTAGTACTGGGTTGGCTTCATATTGTTCATTTTCAGTTTTCAATAGTTTTTTTGCGGTATCATATTTTGAAGTAATTCTTGCTTCGGAAATTGGAACCTCAGACAAATTATTTGAAAGTGGTGGAAGTTCAATAGCATACCAATGTCGTATAGGTTGTATTTGCTATAAAATAGTTAATGGAACGAAATTTCACGTTTAGAAATGCTTAAAATTTAAATATAATTTCATTTTACGAACCAAACTTGATTTGTTCTTTGATTTGTTATTGAAATGATTTTTTTTCATATTTGAATGATCTTTAGAAAATCGTTCTATCCGCTTTGGATTTTTTTTATTGGGTGATAAACGAATTTGTTAATCTAATCTTAATTTTAGCATATAACTGATAAATTTGGTAAATGAACCTCGAAAATAACGATAACTTGAATATTACATATTAGGTTTAGATAGCAATATATATATATGGGCTGTGATCTGAGAAAAGGGCCGAAATTGACAAAAAAAAAGATCTTCAGAAAATCAATTTTTATATTGTAAATCTTATAATAAATTATAAGAAAAAGCAAACTTTAAAGAGCTATACTGCAAAATTTTATTAATACAACTGCTTTTGTGTCTTAAGTGAAAAATGATTCTAATCTTATTCTAAATTAATTTATATAAAAAAATATCTTTTGAAAAATTTGTCAATTTCGGCCCTTTTCTCAGATTACAGCCCATATATATATATATATATATATTTTTTACATTGAGTATTCGCAAAAATTTTTTTTCTAACGCATTGAGCAGCTTTTTTGAATATATTATTGAACACTAACGACATGATTTAATTATTAAAGTTGTTAAAATATGTTATTTTTCGATTTAAATATCTTTTAACCATTTCGAAAACAGCGATAAATATTTTTATTTTATTTTATAAGAGAGGTTTTTCCTCTATTCCTTTATTTCAGATTGTATAATTAAGTACAAACGTACAAATTGTTACATTCACAAAAGGGGTAGAAGTTAGAGCTAGGATAAATTCATTTACTCTCAACTATTCTTAGCAAGAATAATTGTAAAAATCTCTAGACCATGAAATTAATAATAGGAGATTTGATGTTATGTTGTGTAAAATTGTTAAGCTATGTTTGATAATCTGTATCTATACATCTAGAGAAGATGTGTGTTGTGGGGGAGGAGAGCAAGGTAAATGTGTTAGGTATAGCTTATTGGAGATTTATTCTACTTGGTTTGTGTATTTTTTTTTATAATTTTATAATAAATAAGAGAAAGCAGATTTGTATATTTGTTTAAGTAACCTAGAATGGTTAGATTGTTAGAATTTATATCACCTAATGGAATTTCTTGATGTATATGAATTGCTATAAAACTTTAAATAAATATATTTGATATTATTTGCCTTATTCTACTTTCTTGACCTATTTTGGCTAGTGTTTTTTCTATTATATGAGGTATCTAGAAATAACATTATACGAGAGAGGAGGTAGGAATTGCATGAAAATAATGTTTTTCTAATAGGGTAGAGAGGGGTCAAAAAAAAATAATCTAATTTTTTATAAAAATTTGTCTAAAATTTGATCTAGTGGTCCAAATTGGATGATTTTGGTACTATTCAATTTGTCTTGATGAGATGAATCTAATGATACTAAAATTATCTAATTTGGATCATTGGATTATGAGATGATCACAAAAAAAACTATTGATTATATTGTTTTATATAAAATTATTATTAAATCAATAGTTTTTTGCTAATATCTTTTGATCTAGTAATTCAAATTAAATAAATTTGGTACTAGTGGATTCATCTTATTGAGATGAATCGATTGACACTAAAATCATTCATATCAGATTACTGAATTATGAGTTAGACAAGTTTTTGTAAAACTTTATATATAAATATATAAATTTGAAAAAATTATTTTATATAATTAATCTGTGGGTCAATAGCATAGTGGTTATGCTTCCAGGTTGCAAATCAGAAGGTTGCTGGTTCAATTCCTCCTAGCGGTGAAATAATAAAAACCCAAATACAGAAGTGAAACACCGTGGGGTACAGGGAACTCGAGATACATCACCAAAATTTGCAAAGGGATTACTATCGATATTAATCAGTTATTGGATAGTAATCGATATAAATACCCCCTGATGATGACTATCGAGTTAGTTAGTAATCGATATATATCGATAT